TTTCTTTGTTTGAAGACTCATTTGCATGATCAGAGTGGGCTGGCTTTGGTGTCCCTTTATTCTCTCATTAGTGTATCAAGAGTCCTGTTGAAGTTATAAAGATGTGGTATAGACCATCAATTAAGAAATGAAAAAAGGATCATTTTGATATGAAACGTGACACGAATTGGGTTACATGAGTTAATAATTCAATCACGAAGCATGCATAAAACAGTTCATAATATACAAAACAGTAACAATACACACAAGGTCCTGCATGTTCATGTATAGGAAGGTTTGTCCATGAATGTAATGGAGAGAAGTCCTTGTTATGGGCATTGCATGTGTATTTCAAACTCTCTCTAAGTTCCTTCGGGTCGTGATGGCAGTGTTGTGTGGTCGCTGCGGTCCTCAGGGCTCGGTTCTGTCTGTGGGGTCGTCTGCGGATCAGGGGATGGATTGCTTGCTGGGCTTTTGTTAAATAACTAACAATAATGTATCTGATTGGTGCGACCCTTACAATAAGAATATTCAAAGAACAATCTCAATTATTCCACACTTTGGGCCGGTAGTGTGTAGGCTATTATGTTGTGACTGATCTTCAGTTGCATAAACTAATCATAATCTTTTTCATTTAACTTTTTTTATGTAAAAAATCCCCGCAAACTCCAGTGCTGCCCCTTCAAAAAGATCCAGTTCAAATCTGCTACTTATTTTTACAGAACAATACAGAGATAAGCACAACAAAGGGAACCGTCTAAATGAAGCTTTCCCATGAATGCCTGGAGGAAGACTGAACACCGTCATCATCTGCTGGATTTTCTACAATAGGCTGAGTGCACATTTCACAATCAATTGCAGTGATGTGCAGCTCGTGAACGAATCATTCTCTTGAACCAAACTGGACTGAACTGGGTTCTGACCGGATTCAACGCTGATACAAGCCACTAAATCAGTGCTCAATCAATGCGTTTGATCTCAGCTTTATTCATTATTCAGTTCTAAACTCTATTTTCTGTTTCTAGCCAGTAATGTGCTCTACAATGAGGAGAATAACATCTCTGAATCAAACGAAAGAACATCAGTCTGTGTGTATGCGGTGAGGTGTTTATTTCAGCTTCATTTAGGAGCATGTCTGATATGTCTCTACATAACATGGAATGAAAAGGCAGAATTATTAAGATGAAATATTGAACTAATGGAATTCATCTGTTTGTGATTAAGTTAATTGCCATTTTAAAATAAATGAGACCTGTCTTTTCCA